ACAGCGCAACTTCCATAGAGATATTGACCCAGATGAGCAGAACAGCAGTAAATATACGTCTGCCACTTCATTCCGCTAGATAGGGCTAATTTAGGATGCCAGACCGGTTTGCTTAACTAGCACACAAATAATTAAGCCTATGCTCGTCCAGATCAACTAAACGACTTACCAGCTCCAGTACAATCTGGCGATCCTATGTTTATCATGACACACTCGCCAAACGTGTTACCACTCACACTATGCTTTCACGACCGTGCTCTGCAGGCTCTGCCTGCCTCGCTGGTGGAGGCTGCAAGGACGTGTGCTCTGCAGTTTGTCACCACGCGATTTAACTTGGTCGCAGCTTTTTACAAGGTGAGTTTTCTGGATAAGCCAAACATGCGAAGAACTCACTGGAACCGTTGCAGCCACTTGAAAATATGTTGATAGTTCCCCCCTCTGCAATGTAGTTGTTCTGTATGATTATGACGCAGTTGTTCGGGTTCAGGGTTGACCGTTCAAGGGGAGCACCATGATCATCTATCGCAGAAGCATGTCCGGGCGATGGTGTTGCACTAGCATCTCGGAGTGGGTTGATGGTAAGGGGCAAACCGTACTCATTTGAAGTACAACTTTTGCATGCTCCAGTGGAAGTATCCATTGTAGAGATATGAGAGTGTTGGTGAAAGCAGGAGCACATGCCCTCTTTAAAGGTATCTAACTGGCGCCTCGTGTGCTGACGAGCCTCGGTCAATCCTCGGTGTCATCATCATCAGTATCAGCTCCGGCTGTTGCTGCATCCTTGGTGGCATCGTATCAGCTCCGGCCATTCCTACATGCTCGGTGTCGACACTGAGGGTTGACACCGAGGAAGCGCTACAATATTATCCCAGCATTGATCAGAAACGATTTTCATTGGCTGACTACAAGGCGAGCTTCCCAGCCGGGAGTTTTGCCTTGATGTCGTGAACTCCGAATTCTCGATCGCACACCTCTTGCCTCAGGGCATCCATAGTCGTGTAATTATAATATTATGGTTCTCAAATGATTCTATACAATTTCTAGCGCTGATTTTATGCTAGCGATAAACCAGTCCATCCTCTATGGTTACGCACCGCCACATTTCGATACCCTCAACCCTGCACCATAATTCAACTCTGTCAGCCTTAGTGTCCTCGTTCCCGCCCACGAGACACCGCATCACTCATCCGTACCCGAGACAACACTCAGGCACCTCAACTCCACCCACATCTGACGGGCACGCACAGTATGAGGTCGTCATCGTTGACTGGTATGATTCAAAAGATGACCTGCCCGCACTCGCGCTAAAATTGGCACAGCAGCACTTCAAGAGCAATGGCTGGACGACCTTTATATATACTCTGATGCTCCTCGTATGTGCGCTCTTCCTGCATGTCGCACGGAACATTCCGAGGGACCCATGCAATTGACGCCCTTCCCGTGGGTACTTGTTTCTTTATGACAAGCTCATTATTACCTTTGGAGAGGCAGGCAACGAGATGATTACGAACACCAAGCTTAGGTGCATACTGGGTGTCCCATTTTTTTTACAAAAAATTGTCGGTTGATATCTCTACATAGGCATACAGGTGGGCGCAAAATACTAGACTGGTATATTCAACTTTGACCCTTACTTCATCCTACTAGACGTTGCGGTCAATTTGGGACGCAAGAGCGGTTTGTTTAACTGATATCAATCAACCGTGAGTTAATTTTCTTTCGGATGAACCGACTGACCTACCAGCTCCAGTGCAATTTGGCGATCCTACGTTTATCATGACGCACTCGCCAAACGTGTTGCCGCTCAATACTATGCTTGCACGACCGTGCTCCGTGGGCTCTGCCTGCGTTGCTGACGGAGGCTCCAAGGGTGTGGACTCTGCAGTTGCAGTGACGTGTTCTAACTTGGTCACGGCTTTTCACATCGTGAGGTGAGTCTTCTGGTCGGTAAGACATACGAAGAACTTACTAGAACCGTTGCAGTGACTTGAAAATATATTGATGGTTCCTCCCTCCGCAATATAGTTGTTCTGTATGATTACGATACAGTTGTTGGGTGGGTTCGGCGATGACTGTTCGACGCTCGGCAGTGGAGTGCCATCAGTCATGGAATCGTGACAGTGATTGAACGACGATCTCGGCGTTCCACTAGCATCTTGCAGTGGGACGATGACGAGAGGCAGATGACATTCCGTTGAATGACAGGGTGAGCATACTCCAGTGGAAGTACCCATTGTAAAGATGGGGTGCTGGTATGAGCAGGATGAAGTGCGTCTTTTAAACCTACTGCGACTCCTTTAAGTACTCACACCATGTCTGAACATTAGTTCAGTGATCAAACAATTGAGCCAAACAAGGTCCTATTTTAGGATTACCAAATTCCATGTTAACTTCCAGAACTTCCAGAAAGCTGATTGACGCCTGTAACTCGTGATATACTGGTCACTAGGACTATCAATTTGCTTATCTACAGTCCCGTCGGCATGTGTCGTAACCAACCACTTATGTCAAAGTTCCTGAATATAGGTGGAGAGGCCTGAGGCCAGTTCGGACAAAATTTCGAGGTTTGTCAAAGGACCGTATGCCTGATGCAATCCGGACATATTTCAGTGCTTTGCCGTCCTAGGTCTAATCCTTCATCCAGACAAATAGAGGCTGGGATGTCGGAGGCCTGGTCCTTGTCCAGGCAAAATTTCGTGATATAACAGTTGAATACTACAACAGTCGACTACCAATGTATATTTATCGCAAACTCCTATTACTCGAATGGCTAACATCATCGAGATGGACAATGACGTGTACAGATTACATGCGTCAGGTCTAGGGAGACCCGTTCGGCGGCTAGGTGTCATGACCGTGGTGTAAAAGCTAGTGAAGATACCGAGGAGCCAGATATATTTTTTCCAGCTCTTTATTGTGTATAAGCAGTAGCGGAGATTCGAATGGCCTGATCATGAAGCGTTGCTGTAGCGAATCAAACAACGGGAAAATACCCAAGACCCGCAGGCACTAAAATTAGCTCTAGGCTACTACTATACAAGTCCATTCCCGCCGCCCGTCGCGGAAAAATACTCAATCGATTGCCATCACTTATCATATTGATACCAAGAACATGTTTGCCAAGCACGAGAGAGCCTTGGCAATCTTGATCCCATGTCAATATTAAATGAACTTTGGGCGCTATTCAATTGACCCCAAGCTCGCGTAACCCGCTGTCACGTTGTTTTTTTCCTCAGTGATTCAGTTTAATAGCCAAAGCTCAAGCAGTTCGAAGCTTCCCACTGCTGTGTCGAGAGAGGAGGACACTCATAGCCTGAATAATTCACCTAATTCACCTTAATTCACAGTACATTTGACCTAATTCACCTG